ATAATAAATGTTTAAATTTCAATCAATTAATTGATTTACACACAAAAATTGCAAAAAGACATAATATGTATATATATATATATAATTTTGTTCTAATACATAGGTTTAGAAATTTAACTTTATCTGCGAAAATATGCTTCAAAGTGTTCACTTTTTACTCAGATATATATATATATATCTTTATATGTATATTCCGATGTACAATCAATTTGTCTAAGTTCGAGTAAATTTACAGTAAAATAACTTTCTTACTTTCACATATTTTTTTTATGATTTTCTTTTTTTAGTATATATATTTTTTATATATATATAAAGATTTGAAAACAAATTCCTACAAATTTAGTTTTTGTAAGCCTCAAATTTAGTTAATTTTACAATTTTTCTCCAATTTATGTTCAAGTTAGTTGGTTGTTTTTTTTTTTGTGTTTAAAATTTGAATTTTATGTGCAATTTTCTTCAAAAAACTAAATGATTTTCCCGGTTTTCACTTTAAGATTGTTCTAAGTAACGCATCTTGGAATTATAATATATATTTTTTTTTAGTTTTTCCTTTTTTTTTTGAGAACACGCACACACATACATACAGAATCAAGTTTTGATTTATATTTTAATTTTAATCTATTTTCCATCTATATAGTTTCTCACTATACTTTGTTTTTGTGTTATTTCCATGAAAATACTTGCACATTGATTAAAGTTCTTGTTTCCATTTTATCAACTGTTTTTTGGGACTTTGTTTTTAGTTTTTACTCATTTTTTTCTCCTTGTTGTTTTGTAATTTTGAAAATTACTTTGAATCAAACAATTTATGCTAAATATGAAAACCTAATAAAAATGAAATTGTGTGGGGAAAAAGTTTACGTTTTTTTTCTTAGCTTTTGAGAAACGATAGAAAATCGCATACTTATAAAACTTAATAAAAATAATCAACAAATAAGATTTTTAAGATTAAATCGAGTGTAGACTTTGTTTATAAAAATGATACAGAATAGCTGTTTAATATTAATGAAACTGGTCTAAGCCTTAAAAAATGGTTATTTTTCTTCTTTTTTTTTTTCTTTACACTCAACAAAATTGTGTGTACTCACAACTCCTCTGTGCCCCTTTCACAAAAACTTTCCCTTCTCTCTCTCTCATTTAGATCTTGCGTCCTCGTTTGCTCTCTAGTTGTGGCTTCTCCGGATGATGTTTCCTCACATGGACTCCGAGATTGCCTCGCTGCTTGGCCTTGTAGCTACAGTAGGGGCACGGATGACACGGCTCCTTGCCACCACACTCGACATTTTCGTGACGACGCAACGTTGACTTCCAGCGATACTTCTTGCCGCAGTGACGGCATACATAACGCGACTCTGGATCATCGCAGGGACCCAGGGACGAGTCGCTTAGCGACAGTTCATAGGTCATGCCGGAGGGATCGTGCTCGGACTCCTCCTTCATGGGCCGTGTGGTAAGAATGGTATAGCTCTTGCTTGAATCGTGTATGCCCAACTCTTCGGGTAAGATCGTCTCCACACCATCGTCATCCTGCAGATCAATGCTCTGATGGTGATGATGCTGTTGCTGCTGATCGTGTTGCTGCTGCTGCTGTTGGCTACTGCTAGACTGGACCACCGTCTGGATGTGATGCGTCTGCAGTTGGCCAGTATGGATGTGATGCGTCTGCTGTGTCTGTTCGTGTTGATGAACCGTCTGCAGTTCCTGCGGCTCATGCTCAATGGTGGTGATGTGCGTCTCTCCGCCGGATGTCTGCATATGCTCCGTGATCTCCGAGGGGGCAAAGCCGATGCCAATCTTTGTACCATCTGGTAGCTCGATATCATCAATCTCGGCATATTTCACCAGATCACTGATGATCGCCGCCGATGTATTGGGATTATTCAAATCAATCTCGCTAATCTCATACTTGGTTCCATCGGCCAGCTCATGATGCTGATGCTGGATGGGTTCATGGGTCTCTACAATCTGCAAATTCTGCACCGTTGGCCCAATGATCTTGCCACGTGAATACCTTATCCTAGAGGCAATGGGCTTGGAATCCGTCAGCTGTACATTTCGCAGACCCACCAAATTGATAGTCTGACCCGGATGGGCTGTGATTATGCTTTGTACTTGGGTGTGAGTCGGCTGGGCCGTTTGAAGCTGATGGTGATGATGCTGTTGTTGTTGTTGTTGTTGATGCTGCTGCTGATGATGATGCTGTTGCGAAGTCTGCGGCACCTCCTCAATATGGATTGTCTGATGCTGTTGATGATGCTCCTGATGATGCTGCTCCTGGGACACATGCTGAATGATGTGATGAGGATGTATAATGGTCGAACTCGTGTGCGGATGATGTGTGGCAATTGTTGTGGTTGTTGGGATTATCTTTTTGATGTTGATAAGCTCTGGAAATTGGAGAAGATATAGAAAAAGGTTTGTTAGTATGAAAGATATTGAAGATGAGAAAGGGACTTCAGATTTTCTAGGAGATGGAACTTAACTAAAATCTTTCTAATATCTTTTTTTTATGTTTTTTAAATGAGAAAAAGCTTTTTGAAGAAGATATTTTTTCTAATAAATATTCAATTTAACCTTCTATAGCATATCTTTTCTTGTTAATGGACTAAAAACCAAAGCTTTAACAGGACTAATTTGAAGTCATTTTAGTTTAATTAACATTTGTCTAAGTCAAAGTCAAAGACCAGTACTAACTAACTAAGCTACTCTGACATTCCGCCCCCCTTCCTTTCTTACTAATCATTGACTAACTAGTCAAGTTTCTTAACTTACCGCATTCCGATGAGGGCAATTTGATGGGCGTGCTGGTCAGCGTAGTCAGTGTAGGCTTGGGTTCCGAATGTGAAGCGGCGGCGGCATTCAAAAGTTCCGTGATGGTGGGCGTTGGCTGGCCAGCCGGTCCAGTGACGGTGACTGCCGCTTGTGTCTGCTGTTGCACCGACTGATTCTCATCCAATTTGGCAGCCGTAATGTTGCCCAATTTCTTTACATGCAACACGAAGCCATCCTTGTTCTGGGTAATCACTATATCATTGCTCTCCAACAGACAATCATCCAGTTCGAATTCATCTTGTGTGCCTTCCGTCTGCTCGCCTTTGTCCTGCTTGGATGCTAAAGAATCGAATAGTTAAGGGTTAGTAAGAGTTTGGATTTTACAAATTTACCAGCTCAGCTCCTGTCACTATCCTTTTTGAACTCTGTTTTTGTTTTTTTGTTTTTTTTTTACAACTTAACTTGGTACAAACAAGCAAACAATCTTTTGGTTTCCGTTTTTAGTTTCTTAAATATATGTTCTTAAATATTTATAGTTTATATATAAAGATATTTATAGGTATGTGTTGTTGGTGGATTGTGTTTTTTTTTTGCTGTACAGCACAGTTAAATGATAACCAAAAGGACAAACAAAATACCACAGCCAAAAAAAAGTAATAATAAAAACCGTGCCCCTACTAAAAAAGCTTAACTAACTTAGTAACTATATTATATAAGAATTCAATAATGACACGTTTCAATTTTGGTTACAAAAACTCATTTTTTATTAACATTAGAAAGGCTCTTAAGGTCTCGCTTCCCCACCTACATAACTTACCTGGCTCGGAGATCGTTTTGAAAAATAAAAAAACTTATTTTAAAGTAAAATCAAGGAACTTGGACTTGAGACCACGTGGCAGGGACCCACCCAAACCTTGGTTAACCCTTCTATTATCCCTAGGACCTTCGCCCGATCCCGTCGAACCCACTGTTGTATCACTCAAATGCTCTGGATGCTGCGTCTTGAGATGCATATTCAAACTGTGCTTGTATCTTGCCACATAGGAGCAGTGGCGACACCTCTCCGTGGGCTGGTGGCCACACTCGTAACGCAGATGCCTCGACAGGTTTTTCTTGTAGGTGTAGGCCTTCTCACAGCGTGGACAGATATGAGAGTTATTCGATGGTGAGACATTGTTGAGAGAGGTCACTGATTTCACGGATATGGTCCAGGCATTCTCTAAAAGATTTGCGAGAAAGAAACGAAATAGGTTAGAGAATTTGTAATTCTGCATTCCTTAAGTTTTATAATCAATAAAATCATAATAAAACAAAAAATCATATTGGGAGTCAAGATGAGGAATGATATATGTATGATATATATGTATGAAAGTGGGTGTTCTTTTTTTCTTATATAACCAACTACCAGTTCAGCACAGCGATAGATAGTTTTTATTTAGCAGAGAAAGTTACATCTGTAGCTAGAAGGAGGAGATAGTTACAAGCTAAAACTAAACCAAAAAGAAAAAGGGAAACATATTAAACAAATCTTACCATTCCATAAACACTCTTTAATAATTTATGATTTAAACTTAAAGAAAAAGCTAGAAATTTCGATTTTTAAGGCAATGTCTGGGCCCACAGTTGCAGGTAGTACCGTCTACTATGGCGTAACGGTAGCAATGGTTTATGTTTTTCTTTTTTCTTTTTTTTTTTATAACAAACCATTGACCTGACTCTTGACCCTTGTTTATAGTTGATCTGTAAGTAAGAAAATGGATTAATTTAAAGGAAAAAAAAAATAAAAGCAACCTAGCCCACCCAAATCTTTCCCAAAATAAAAATTAATAATCTTTCTTTCTTTCTTTTTTGGGGTTTCAACATTTCAATATCAATCTTTATTATTCTTGTTGTTTGTTTTGTTTTTGTTTTTTCTGTTACCACTTTTCTCAAACAATGTGTATATAAACGATTCCATATATAATGCCATTTGTTCAGTTTTTCGCAAAAATAACAATTTGTTGGGGTTAAATGGTTTTCTCGAAAAATTAAAACATAATCCCAAATGGTCTTAGCTTGGTTTTTCTTTTTTTCTTGGTTACATCAAATCTTATTTTTTGTTCATTTTGTTTTAAACCTACCGCTTGTTATTACAATTATTAATAATTATTAATTGGTTTTTTTTTAATGTTTTTTGTTTTTTTGTTTTGTTGTTTTGTTTAAGGTACTAACAATATCAGCTTCGTCAATGAAAGTTTTTCTCGCTTTTCTGTTTATTATTATTCCTTCTTTTGTTGTTGTATAAATTTGTTTCATAATTTCGCCTTTTCCGTGGTTTCGTTAACAATAAATATATGTATATATATCATTTATCAATTACTCGGTTTCATTGTTGTTAAATATTACGCTACAAAAAATAAACAACTTTCGTTACAATTCAACTTTTCCCTTACATGGTTTCTGCTTGTTCTTGGTTGTTCTTGTTCTGGTAATTATTGTTTTTGGTTTGATTAAACATATATATATATATAATATATATATATATATATTCGTTAATCCCTTTTTAGACTGTTTTATGGCAATTTCCTTGTTCCAAATACACTTTTACTAAAACATTTTCTTGTCTGGTTTTTGCTGTTTCTTTTGCTTTGTTCAGTTTTTTTTCGTCTAAAATATATATATATTGGTATATGTATATGTCCTTGTATATATGTGTGTATATATATATATATATATATATTTTTGGTTGGTTTCTTTGGAGTATATTTTGTTCATTATTTTGTAACTTACTTATAAGTTAATTCTAATTTTTTTCGGTTTTTTTTCTTCTTACTTTTTCTTGCAAACGGTTTTCTTCTTCTGCTCTTGCTTAGTCGATAAATATTAATTAACAATATAACAAAAGTTAAAACATAAAGAGTTCTCTGGTTAAATTAAAGTGGTGAAACGATATAATATATATATTTGTATATAGTAATAATAATAATAATAATAATAATAATATTAAAACAGTGTTGTTAAAACTAATTTAAAGAAAAACGATTTAACAAAAAAAAGTTATTTCGAAACATTTGATGCTTCCACACATTCCCTTTTTTTCTAAACTTTAACAGCAAAAAATAATAATAATAATTTAGCTACTCGCAACAAGGTCTTAGTACATTAGTTTAACAAATAAAATAAAACATAAAGCGAATAATTCTCAAATTTGAATTTCAATTTTTCTTTTTTTTCTTTCTTTTTTAACTAATTTGAAAGCCATATTTTCCCTATTTTCCTCAAAAAGTCCTACAATTTGTCTTGTTCGATTGGTTGGTTTTTTTTTTTTTTTTTTTTTTTTTAATTTCAGTTTAAAAAATGTTTTTTTTTTAGACTATTCATTTCAAAAATTGACTTTGGCAAATAGCCGCACAAGACAAATTGTTAGCAAACTTTTGAAGTATTGCACTTGTGGCAGAATTTTGTAAACAAATTGAATTAAATCAATCAAAAAAATTTGCCTTTGGTATATTAGTTTATTAACGGAGGTGGGGGTCAGCAAGGGGGAGGTGAACATGTGCTATAATACCAACGATTGACACTAAAACTAAATAGCCAACTATTAATAGAAAAAGAGGGTCAGAAAAAATAGTTGCCACAAAAAAAAATACAAGAAATTGTCTCATTAAATATCACGACTAATTAATAATTTTAGTTAATTTCGTGGGCTACTTAAGTTTTAGTGTCAATATCTGGTTTTAAACTGCAGTTAGTACTTCACTATAATTGATTTCGTTTTTATATATTAATTTTCTCTTAATTTTTCCCTTTATACTGTACTGTGTATAATTTGTCTAGTTCATTCGAGTTCATACAGTTTTTGCTCTATTGCTGTTGGTTTCTTATATTTTTTATTTTGGTTTTTAATCTGTTTTTAATATAATTAATATTTGTTTTATTGTACTGTCATATACATGTATGTATGTGTTTGCATATATGCGTAGGTTTATTATCTGCAACCCAAAGATTAACAATCAACAAGCAACAAACAATATATATCCTGCGCGCTCTCCTTACTTTCTTTTTCTAACTGCTTTGCCTAACTAGAAATTATGTTTAGTTGCCTCCTTCTTAGGTTATATATTTATTTATTCTCATATAATTTCAATAATTTATATATTAAAAATTTGTTTGATAATGGCACTCTCATAGCATTTAGTTGTCACTTTTTTTTTGCCTTCAAAAATTTGTCACTAAAACTCAATCTTTGAACTAACAACAACGCAAAATTTTACTATAAATTACACTTGTCAACAGAATTGTTAAACGTATCCCTTTTCTTCTTCTTCTTCTTTGAATGCAACAACAAATCATATTGGTTTACATATATATCTATATATATGAGTATATTGTTCGATCTCATCTATGGCTTCATCGTCTTCGTCTTCCTCTTCGTCTAAAGCAGCTTTTCTTTTACATTTTTTTCAGTTTTGGTGGAGAATTTCTAATGGCACAAAATGTTCTATTTTCTTCTTTTGTTTTTTTTTTGTTTTTTTCTGGTACAAAATCTCTTTAACCAATTGGCACACGCACACACACACACACATCCACTCATACATTTATATATTTTTTTTTGGCGATGTGAGTATATCTTTTACCAACATCTCAGCTTCAATGACTTCTTAACAATTTTCCCTTTCCTTAATATCAACTTTTTTTTTTTTTTTACTTATTTTTTGTTCAACAGACAACATTTTTGCTAATATAGCATTATATATATATATAGTTCTATATGTATATATTTTTATGTAGATGTGGTTGTTTCCTCATATGTATATGTTTTGGTTTTCTTGTATATATGTATATAAACTCTTGTTTTTGTTTTACTATTCTTTCGTTCTTGGAACCATGTAACAAATCTTCCTGCAATCCCTTAACTTCTGATGACTCCCTCCCTCGCCTACTAAACCAAACTTGACTCTGACTCTATGAGACTTTTTCTAACTGGCCAAGAAGTACAGTGAGGCCTCCGGAGAGTGTGTGTGTGTGTGTGTTTTGTTTATGTATGTAAATGTACCTGTCATAATTAATAACAACTTAAACAGTTAACATATATAGTTGTTTGATGATTTTCTTGCTCTGTAATTATTATTATTGTTTTTGATGTCATTCCACTTTTGGATTTTTTCAGGTTTTTTTTTCAGTTTGAATTTTCGTGGCTGTGTGTGGCATAACAAGAATCGTATTAATTATAATTTATATATATATTATTTTCATTAATATATATATATAATAGATATATATTTGGCAACAAATAAACACAGTACGTTTTGTTATATGCATTTCTGTTTCTGTCGTCGGTTGTTTCTTTTTATATATATATATATATATTATATATATTTTCATTTTTTGTTGTTAATTTCACTAAGTTTTTGTTTAGTTTCTATATTATTATATATATATATATATTCTTTAACTAAAATTACGTAGTTTTGGTTAGTTTGACTAAAATTGTTTTGCTCTTAGCTTCCTTGCGTGTATGTTTTCTGTTTCTGTTTTTGTTTATTTGTTTGTTTGTTTGCCTCTCTGTTCTCTATTCCTTAGTTTAGTTTCTTTTATTTTTTTGTTGGTTTTCTTTTTCTTAGGTTTTTGTTTAATCTGGTTTTACATTTTACTAAAATCCTATAAAATGTTCACTGACTGCTTCTATATATGTGTATATATATTGTTGTTCTAGCTTGTTAAATATTTCGTTTTTGTTCTTTAACTAAGTATTCCGTTTTTTGTTTTTGTTTCATTAATGCTCAGTTTCAACAATAATTCTCATCATATATATATACTATATATATACTATATAGATTGGTTGTTTTTTCTATCCTTTTTCTATATCTTTTTTCTTTATAAATGATGTGGCATCCAATAAATTCGTTTTGTTGTTTGTTATTTGTAATTGTTCTTGGTTTTTCCTTCATTTTTTATCTTTATCTTTTATCTAATTGTTCTATATATCATTTTTTGTTCTTGTTGTTGTGTTGTTGTGTGTGTGTTTGTTTGTTATATAGGGTTGTATATATATAATCATGTTTTGTTCATCATCAGTTAATCAACTGCCTATTGGGATAACGCTTATTCTATTTGATTTTAAAGAAAACATTATCTCATAAGTAATATTTGACACAGACACCGCTCTCAAGGTGTCGCTTTAGGTGGGAGCTTTGTGAAAATGCTTTGCCGCACATCAGACAGCGAAATTTTTTCTGTCCACCACATTCATATCTGGAGGGCGAGACATCATCAGATACATAGATACATAAATATATAGAGAGAGAGAAAGAGGAGCAAATAAAGACAGGTATCAGTATCTCACAAATATTATCAGACAGACCCTGATTAAACACTATATATACATAGTATATAATTTTTCTCACTCACCTGATATGTCGTTGCAGCGAGCTGGCGTCCTTGTAGCTCTTCAGGCAATTGAATCTCGGGCACTGGTAACGTCCATCCGGATTTATGAACTTGAACAGATCGGAGAACTTTAGCTCGTACCAGTAGTCGCGTATAAGGGACTGCGCCGAACTGGCCGATGTCCCACCACCACCCGTGGGTGGCGGAGTTTGGCTTGAGTTTGAGGCATAGCTACTTGGAGCTACAAATTTTAGTTTTTTTTTTTTTTATTTTTTTTTTTTTTAAGAAGAAAAAAGAGAAAAGATATATATAAGATCATGAGTATCGGTATGTTCTGGATTATCTGGTTTAACCATTAGCTTAAACTAGAGCAGAATATTTCGTTTTGAAAAAGTAACAAGATTTCAGTATTTAGAGTAAAAAAAAAAAAAAAAATATATTTTCGAAAACAATTTTTTACTTTTTTAGATAGAATTTTGAAGTTAATTTTTGCATTGAGTATTATTAAAAATTAAAATAGTAAATAGTAATATATAAATTGGTGATATTTACAGTTAGTGTGTGTTGCGGGTGTTTTTTTTTTTGCATTTTTTTTTGGTATTTTTTTGTGTGGGCGTGGCATGGTGAAGCGTGAGCAGAGCTAGCAGCAGAAGAGTTGCAGATTTGGCTTTGGTTTTATTTGCTGGGTTTTTTTGCTTTTGGCATTTTTGATTTTTTGAATGAACGCTGTGGGATGATGATTGATCTTGATTGAAGTTGATGATGATGATGATGCTTGATATGGGGTGTCTGCAATGAAACATGTTTAGTAAACTCTGAACAACGAAGAGGGGGTGGAGAGAGATAGATAGACCCACTAGTCATACAAACGGTTTCTTGATCAATACAATTTTATTTGAGTTACAAAAATATGCATATAAAAAATACTTAGTTATGGCTCTGACATATAAAAATAGTGGCTTTGTGTTTTTTTCGGTTATATAAATATATATATAAGTTCTCATACGACTTATATGGCTAGCTAAAATATCGTGTTTTGTTTATATACTGACAAAAATTCGTTTCACATTTTTCTTTTTCAACGATTCACAAAATGTATATAGTAACTGGGCTTAAGACTTGGGCTTTAAGTTTTCTTCTTTGGCTGCTTTGTGTAAATATATGCTTGTTTTTCTTTCATTTTTTTTTGTTTTGTTTTATATTTGAACTATGTTTTATGCGGCTGTTTTTAGTTTTTTTGTATTTAGTTAAGTGTTTGTGTTTGGTACTTGTACTGTTGGTTGCATTTCATTTGTATTCGCTTTGAGATCCTTGTCTATCAGTTAGTTAGTCATAATCCTAGCCTAGCAAAAGGAACTTAGATTTTATGAACTTAAATATCCACAAAAGGTTTAGTTTTAGTTTTTTGGAATTTCGCTGATTTGGCATGGCCTATATCTTAACTACAAAAACTACTGACTAAAAACTATATCGAAAAATGTTTCACTTTTTGTCTTTTTGGTTTTTGTTTTCTTACTTTTCTTAGGAATGCAAAGTTTTTTGTGGGTCACCGACCCTGAACTACTCTCAGTAGTTTGTATAACCCTCCCCTCGTTTCTTTCTTTCTCCCTGACTTAGTTTCGTTTTCTCTTTGGACTTTTTTTTGGTTTTGGCTTACTATATATATAGTATATAAACTAAAATCTACCAATTTGAAACTTAAATTAACTTAGGAAAAAGTCAGACTAGCTGATAAGCATAAGTTATGATTGCGAAAAATTTTCAGCGTGTTTAAACTTAAATCTAAAATACGAATTTTAAATGAGAACCAACACAGAGAGACGACAACGACGTTGACTGCAATGATTGGAATTTTAATCAGGCTGTGTGGCTAGCTGGCAGCAGCAGGTTGCTTTGAAATATATTCTTCGCGTTTGTATAAAATTTACATGAATTAAACAAATTTATGCAAATTTCCTTTTACCATACATAATACAAAGTGAAAGCTTTGTATGTGATTTTCTTTTTTGGCGCGGTAAACAAAAAAGTTCCTGTGCCAGCTCAGTAGATCATTGCAGTCTGTCCTGGTTGGTTGGTTGGTTTTTACTTTCATTTTTTTTTTGTTTTGTTAGTTTAATAAATAACTAAATTTAAGATAAAACTAAACTGGACTGGATTAGAGATTAAATTTATAATAATAATAGTTTGTTTAAAAAAGGATCTCTGCCTATGCTGTGGCCTCCCATTTGGTGGGTATTCCCGTGGATGCCTGCATCTGAAAGGCCAAAGGCAGGAAGTCCTTTTTCATTTTGGCAAAATGGGTCTTGATGTGCTTGGTTAGATTGTCGCTCCTTTTGGCCGCATAATTGCAACTGGGACACTGGAAGATGGGTCTTTCGGTGGTGAAGCGGCACTCGAAACGACGATGGCGACTTAGACTCTTGCGGGTCTTGTAGGACTTGCCACACTGATCGCAGGCATGCTGATACCAGGTTAGTACGAAATCTGTAAATGTAGATAGATGTGGGTGCGCGCGTGGGCAAAGAACGGGGGCAGCACACGAAGACGGAATATATGGGTGAGTGATATTGTGGGTGAAAGAGTGATCGGAGTTGATTTGTTTGATAGTTGATAGTGTTGATACTTTTGATAGTTGATACTTTTGATAGTTGATAATACAATGATTTGTTTCCTGATTGTGTTTTTTATGACTGACTGTATTATAATCAGTTAATAACTGTCTTAGTTTCTGCTTTTACACATTTCAATTTCTGTACGTTTTTTTGAGCAAGTCAAATTTGCTAAGCTACAAAAAAATCAAGAAAAAAATTATAATTAAATATTTAAAATAAAATTTATAAATATTTAAACGACTTAAAAACATGTCAAGCATTCCAAAAAAAAAAAATAAAAATTTGTATACTATTTGACGGGAAAATAAAAAGTATATATATATAAAAAACATCGAGATCACTTAGAATTAGAAAAGATTAACCCATTAAGAACCCAAGTAGAACCGCCTTAAAGACTAGAAAAAACATCTGTGTAAGAAAAAACATCAAGTGTTAAGTAATTTATTTTTGGTTTTGCAAAGATATATATATATATATTATCAAAGAGATAAAGATTAAGACTAGAAGAATTGGAAAAAGCCACACAAAAAGCTCAAAAGGACACACACACACGCGCGCTTCATACACTCGCCACACGCATTATGGGGCACACAAAAGCAGACACATGAGAGAGAGAGAACCCAAGCAAGAAAGTGAAAAATAGACACGAATTATGTTGAAGAACATGCTTATATACAGGACGATATAGTGCGTAAACGATAGTCACAAAACTTTACTTTTCAAAACACAGAATAGTTAAAGGTACATCACATTACTTTAATACCAAAACCGAAACGCACTGTATCGCTCTGTATGTAACGTGTATAGAGATCAAGTTGAAACCCAGACAAAAACAATTCGAGGCGAGAGTTTACACAGAACAAAGATATATATCATAAAATATATATATATATATATATATAGAAATATATAATACTGTAAGTGACAGACTTTTCTTTTGCAGATCGCGTTGCCAGTTGACAGTTTTTCCAGGACTTCAGAGATAGTAGTATGTGGATAGTAGGTAGTAGATATTGGAGTAGTAGTGGTGGATGGAGTAGTGGGGTAGTACAACAGTTTTGGTTTGTAGAGACATCTAAAAGAAATTTAGTAATAAAAATAGGTTAGTGAAAAATTCCAACAATTTCCTCAAGAGAAAAACACAAAACAAAAAAAGAAGTGAAAACTGAAAACTGAACAAAGGGAGTGAAAAAAATGGAAAACAAAACACGATCTTGGATGGGATTTGATGAACAAAATAGATGATAATGGAAGGTGGAAACTGATGATGATTGGGAATGACAAAAGGCTATATATATATATATAGGATATACATAAATAATAAAACTTTCGATTGCTGCAATTGAATACATAAATATAATATATTTTTCTTGTATTTGGTTTTGGTTTTTTTTCTCGTAATTTATTCAATTAAAATTATAAATTTTCTCATTTTCGTTTTTCGTTTGGACTTTGGATAAATTAGGTTTTCTTTTTTTTTTTAATATCTAAGTATACATGCTACAAATGTATATAGTATATATCATAATAACTTAACTAGGTCGTACAATTTGGTGGCATATCATTTGGAATAAGTGCATTACATTCATAGAAATCTTCCGCCCTAACCTTCTTCTAAAGCCAAGAAGAAAGCCAGGCGGTTAAGTTGAGTATTTTGTAGTTTTTTTTTTTTTTTTGGATTAAATCAAATTGAAATTACTCAACTTGTAGTAAAAAGATTTGATATTCTCTCTCTTTTTTGACTCGTTTTTGTTTTTACTTTTTGGTTTCTTAAGGTTTCTTAAATGACTAACAAATAGTTTAGGTTTAGGAGAGACACTTTTCGGGTTAAGTTTTCCCTCCAATCCCTGTCATGCTGAAAAGCGTTTCTTAAAAGATTACAAATTCGTGACGGTTTAAGTTTTTATAGTTTTGTTTTTTGTTTTTTTTTTAGGAAAGTTTCGTTGACTGATTCAACATTGTAATATTGACAAATTTTTAAGACACATTCTGTCTAATAAGCGACTCACACAAAAATACATAATTAAAAATTATCTTTCAAATTGGAATGTCTACGTTTGAGATTCGAGTACGGGGCAAGCAAGCAAATTACATATAATATTAAAATGAGGATTTTTTGGGTAGCCTAGGCTCTTGACAAAATAAAATAAGAGATTCTTTAAGTTTCAATAAATAATATAAATATTAATATATATATATATAGCTATATAGTCGGGGGATAGCTTAGTTATTGTTATAAGCAAATGGCATCGTGTTCATCAATCGCTCCTTGAGCAATGAATTCGATATGATCTGTAGACCCAGCTTCATGTTCCACTCCTCGTTCATCAGGTGCTGCACCTTGCTGGGCGTCACCGGTTCCGGCTTGATGCCAAGTGCTGCAGCAGCCTCGGCTTGTGCGGCCAAAGCCGCATCATCATCGTCATCTCCTGCTCCTCCTCCTTCGTTGTTATTCTTTGCCTGACTTTCGGCAACGGCGGAGGCGGCGGCGGCTGCTGCAGCCGCTGCTGCTGCTGCTGCCGCCTGCTCCTCAACCACCGCTGCTGCCGCTGATATCGCTGTGATGGCACCTGTCAACCCATACGTCGGTATCGGCATAATGTGCGGCGGCAGTGGCGATGTGCATCGC